CCCAACCCTCGGCTCCCAGGTCTCCCTCACCGTCCTGACCTTGGGACAGGAGCGCGCGGTGCCCGGGCCGGGGCCGGGAGGACGGGGAGGGCGTGGCGGGGCCGGCCGTGGATCTGCCCTTCTCGGCCTGGCCAGCGTGAAGCTGTCGTCCGGGGCTCCGCACCAGGTGTCTTCCCGCGCCAAACCCGGCTTTGTAACCCGCGCTTCCGAAAGCCCCCGGCTCCCACCCAGCGTGAGCCCGGAGAGCGCCGGACTCCGGGGATCGGCCACCGCGCTGACGCTTCCTAGCACTTTTGACGGAACACTTATCTAACGAGGCGCACTTTAGCCTGGGAAAGATAATTCCCGTGTTTTCCCGCTTTTAGGGAAGCAGGTCCGTTTCCTTCCATAGTAAAATAAGCGTGGCGTCCTAAGGGGCTGCGTGGGGCCGTGTCATGCAGCAAGGCAGAGGGTAAGAAACGGAGTGACTACAGCAGAAGGCCGAGAGCTTCTGAGGAAAATCAGCAACAGAATGACCTGTCCTGACATGTACAGAGTCGCTGCAATGGGATCGGCAACACTCGGATTTACCGTGTAGTCCCACATGGCTGCTCCTCGGAACGCGGACAGGATGAAGACGATCACTATGGCCACCTGGACCTCGGTCACATCCACCCTGCAGAGGGGCGCGGGGAAGACGCAAGGTGCTGGTCAGTGAGCCTGCTCTCCTCACTGTCAGAACACTGAGGATGCGAGAATCCCCAGAGGCTCGGTTTAGCTTTACCTTTACTTCCCACATTAAATATTTTTTCTTTCTTTCTTAGTTTTTTTGAGATAGGGTCTCACTATGTAGCCCAGGCTGGCCTCAGGCTCACCAAGATCTTCCTGCCTCAGCCTACTGAGTGCTGGGATGACAGGCGCGCACCACCGTGCCTGGCTTCCACATTGAATTATCAATGACTGCAGCAGAAAAAAGCTACAGAGACACATGCACTCCCACACAGTAAGTATTAATATAGAGAGGAAACCTTGCATAGCACGTGTCACTGCTACAGCACCTGAAACTTTCATTTTCTACCTTAAATATTTCTTCAAAGCTTGAAGTTTTACAAGTACCTATTACTCTCGTAAATCAGGAAAAATCATAATATTCATAATATATAAACAACTGGGACTTGGCAAATTCTTTTTTTTTTTTTTTTTTGAGACTAGATCTTGCTATGTAATGCAGGCTGGCTTTAAACTCACTATGTAGCCTAGGCTGGCCTTGAGCTCTCGCAACCCTCCTGCCTCAGCCTCTGGAGTGTGCCCCCATGCCCAGCTGAGGAAGGGCAAATTCTGTGAAGACTGTTTAAACGGTGACTGTGAATCTGTCAAATCTAGGGCTACAGGTCATCCTCTTGTGTGACTTCTTTGTGCTATTTTGATCTGGGCCACTTCGTGTCTCTGTCTCTCTGTCTCTGTCTCAGAATGGGGCACTGCGTTTTCATTCACCCTGCGCTTGCTCCGGCCTTCCCGCCTTCCTGTAGACCCCTCCCCAGCTCCTTCCTGGGCTGCTCCCTCTCCCAAACCCTAAGTGCTGCCTCTAGAACTCTTATACTAAGGCTTAGACTTAAGACCGTACATTAACGACCTCTAAACCCACACCTCCGATCTATGTCTTTTTTCCTGAGCTCCACTTTTTTTGTTGTCATTGGTTTGGTTTTGTTTCGGTTTGTTTTTTTGAGATACTATCTGGCTATATAGTTCAGGCTGCCTCTGAATTCATTATGTGGCCCAGGCCGGTCTCCAACTCACTGCAACCTTCTTGCCTCAGCCTCCAGAGTGCTGGATGACAGGTGTGCACCACCGAGCCTGGCTTTCCTGGTGACTGGGAGAAGGCTAACCATCGTGTAGCTCTACAAGCACTTGGACAGGACGACCCCAGTGTCTCCCACAGCTGGGAGTTTCACAAACCTGCTGGTGGTAACTAGCGGGGGTCCTTTCCTGACACCTGACGATTTGACCTAAAAGACTTCAGACTCCACAGCACATTATTTTATTATGTCCACCAAATAATAATTATTAGTTTTTCACTTTTTAAAATTATTTATTTAATTTTCTTTTTACTTTTTTTAGTTTAGCTTTAGTTTTTTTACTTTTTAAAATTACTTAATTTTTTTTGTTTTTTTTTTACTTTTTAAAATTATTTATTTAATTTTTTTGGGGAGACAGGGTCTTGCTGTGCAGTTCAGGCTGGCCTTGACCTCACTATGTAGCCCAGGCAGCCTCGAACGCGGGGCCATCCTCCTGCCTCAGCCTCCCGAGTGCTGCGATTACAGGCCTGCGCCACCACGCGGGGCATTTATTTAGTCATGCATAGCTGTTTTCTCTAGTGTCCGGGTCCCTTACTTTCCTGTCTTTCTTGTTCACTGAGAATGTGGGCCAGTGAGGGAGCTGGAGAGGAGGGGAGACGGTCAAGTCACTGTCCGGCAGCCAGCACTGGCGAGGATGGAGGCCCCACACCGATGGGCAGAGGTGCGGGCGGCCGGGGGCTCGGCCCGGGGTCCGCGTGGGCGGCGGGAGACGCACTTACTTTCCAAACCGCAGCATGCCCGACACGTAGGTCTGCCAGTGCGCACAGTAGAACAGGAACATGCCGAAGAAGGAGCAGAAAAACAGCCAGTCGGGGTGCGTCCCCAGGCGCACGGCCAGGGAGGCGCCCAGGGCCAAAAGCACTGAAAGGGGACAAAGACACCGCCTGAGGTCGCTGTTTGAGGGGACGGAACTCTGGCATTAAAACTCGTTTTTAAAAACGAGCTGAGGCAGGCATGATGGCGCACGCCTGTTATCCCAGCACTTGGGAGGCTGAGGCAGGAGGACTGCCGTGGGTCCGAGGCCAGCCCGGATTACACCATGAGTTCAAAGACAGCCTCGAGCTGCATAGTCAGACCCTGTCTCAAAACCCGAAAACAAACAAAAACACTGAATGAGTTCTGGAACTTATTTTTTAAACCCACAACTGCTCCCAAATGCACCCCTCTGCACCAAGCGGCCATCACAGCGCGTGCTTCGTCTTGGGCTGTCAGGCAGTCGCAGCTGTCCGGCTTACCTGAGGCAACAGAGTCGCAGCTGTGGTCGAACAGCTCCCCCAGGTGCGAGCAGGAGTTGGTCCTCCGAGCTTGCTTCCCGTCCAGGGCGTCCAGGGACTGGTAGGTGAAGAGGCCCAGCGCACACATCAGGTAGACCCAGGCTGGCGCCTAAAACCACAGAGGCCGGTGCTGAAGGGCCGCATCTCTCTTTCTCCCTCTTTCTTTTGGTGCCACCCAGGGAGGTCGTGCTGAGCTACACCCCCAACCCTGTTTTACAAATGGATTTCATTTTTTCTTTTGAGACAGGGTCTCAGGCTGGTCTCACACTTGTGACCCTCCTGCCTCAGCCTCCTCAGTGGTTGGGATTATAGGCAGGGGTGCAGCGACAGGGACATTATGCTCCTCCTACGGATACAAATCAGACAGAGAAATGGAATGAGTCCAGAGCAGCAGACGCACGTGCCGTGGTGGGCTGTTTGTGTCACTGAAAGCTCTACGAGGTTTGCCATCACTGCTCTAGGGCCGGCGGGTGGAGCACAGACACTCCCGCTCTGGGGGCACAGTTAAATGGCCCAGCAGGGTTGGGGCCGACGGGATTCCTAACCCACAGGCCTTCTGCTGCAGTGCCAGCTGTGCCTGGCACGGGGTGAGCTTACTCAGGGAGTGCTCGTTGTGAAAAAACCTTTAGGCTGGGCATGGGGTGCATGTCCAAGGTCCCAGTGCTCTGGGAGGCTGAGGCAGGAGGATGGCGAGTTTGAGCCCAGCCTGGGCAACTTAGTGACTCAGCGAGACCCTGTCTCAAAATAAAAAGCACGGGGATGCAGCTCAGTGTGACCGCCCTGGGAGAGAGAGGGAGACAGAGGCAGAGACCGAGATGGAGACCCAGACCAGAAGGAAAGAAGGAAGGAAAAAAGGAAAAAGGAGAGCAGAGGGAGGAGGAGCAGCCCTGGAGGCCGCCCTGCCTGTGCCGGGTGAGGCCCCAGGCCTAGGTCCCGCCTCTGTCACCCTCAGCAGCTCTGTGCCACTGAGGGCGCCGTGACCCCCAGGGCGTGACCGCACCCCACTGCTCCGCCACCAGGCAGTGACCGGGGCGGCGCAGAGGTGGGGACCCAGGCAGAGTCCAGGCCGCTGTGTGAGAGCTGGGGATCCAGGCGTCTGTGTCCCCTCACCGCGAGCCACAGGAGGCCGCAGGGGTGCCTTGGCCGGCATTCACACGGCCAGGAAGGGCCAGTCCCCACGGGCCGGGCTGAGCCCTTGGGGACCCGCGGTCATCAGCGGCCCCAGGCACTTTTCACAGCAGCCCTGAGGAGACTCAGCCTGGAAGGTGCTCACGGCCCAGCGGGACCGCAGCCAGGAGGGGCCTGCGCCGGCCAAAGCGCGGGGCCAGGCAGGGGACAAGCCCAGGCCTGGTGCCGACGCCAGGGCAGAGATTGTGGCCTGGGGGCTCCGCAGCTGCTGTCCCCAGTGACACTCAGGAAAGGCTCCCAGCGATGGGCCATGCCGGGTGGCGGGCCACACAGCAGGGCCACGGGCCTGTGACTGAGGCTCAGGGAGACCAGAGAGACTAGGACAGGGCGGACTTGAGAAGAAAGGAAGCCGACAACGCCTCAAGGTTTAGGGAATCCATGAATCTGCGCATCGGAGCCGAGCAGTGAACCCCAAGTAGAATAAACATATTTTTAAAAAACCCAAGTCGTGCTGGGCGCGGCGGCGCACACCTGTCATCCCAGCACTCGGGAGGCTGAGGCAGGAGGACTGCTGTGAGTTTGAGGCCAGCCTGGGCTACAAAGTGAGTTCAAGGCCAGCCTGGATGGCATAGTCAGACCCTGTCTCAAAAACACAAAAATAAACAAACAAATAAATAAATACCCAAGTCACAAAACCATGGCTGAACAGCTGAAGTAGACAGAAGCGGAGCGCAGTGGAGCGCGTCCAAATTCAACAGCAGGAAGAAGTGTTCACCGAGATCACTCTTTCTTTTCCGCACTGTTCCACAGCGGCCGCTCTTTTACTGCCCCTACTTCACATCAGTATTTCCTAGTGTCCTCCACGTCCTCGGGGACCTGCACAGCCCACAGCTGTACATCCAGACAGGGGGACAGCAGACTGTCAAGAACGACAGCTCTGAGCCGGGCGTGGAGGTGCACTCCTAGAATCCCAGCACTGGGGAGGCTGAGGCAGGAGGATTGTCTCGAGTTTGAGGCCCGCCTGCACTACATAGTGAGGTAAATAAAGGCCAGCCTGCACTACACAGACCTTGTCTCAAAACACACACGTGCACGCTTGTACACACATACACACACACACACACATGACTGCCGCCCACACCAGCGGAGTTCAGTGGAGGATCTCACTTTTCCGCATCGGGCAGCAGGTTCCGAGGGGAGAACCCGGCCCTGGGGCTTCCTGGGGTGCGGTCAGGAGTGTGACGCCAGGCCCCATCTGCTCCGGTGCTCGCTCTAACACACACTGGCTAAGCAGCAGGAATTAGCTTCTTGGTGCCTCAGTCTCCCCACGTGAAAAACAGGAATGATGTCAGTGCTGGCTTATGAAAATTAAAGGAATGCTTACAAATGAATCCTTCCAGTGCTCAGGAAGTGCCGGGGCTGGGAAAGGCCCCCACAACTGCGGCTATGGTTACCACACTGCTGACGCTGTCTGGTGACTCCCGGGTACACTTTTTGTCATTTATGTATTTCATGTGTTTTGGAGAAATGTCATGTATTTTGAAAAACTAGCTTATTGTATCCCTGATTTTGTGACTATTGAGGCTTAGAATGAGTCCAAGTTTTAAAGGACAGCTGGTTTAAAGTCGATGTAGAGAAAAACAGTAAATAAAATGTAGTGCAGGTAATACACAAAAGCAAAAATCTTCCCATGAATTTTTATATTTTAAAAATTTCCTCTCGCTTTCAAAGGCTTTGTGTGCACCTTAGGTCAGCGGGGAAGACTTCATGTCATCCAAACGCCAAATGATTTCTCTCGCTATGAAACTGCACTTCCAAGAGGTGAGGAAAAGAAAATCAGAAGATGGCCTGCCTGTGTGTGCACATGTCACACTAATGTTGTTAAAGGTGGACTCTGTACCTGGTCATGTGATTTGATGACTTTATTTCATTGTTTGTTTGCCAGGGTCTCAGTTTGTAGCCCAGGCTGGCCTCGAACTTGCAGCGATCCTCCTGCCTCAGCCTCCTGAGTGCAGGCTAAACGTGCTCTTGAAGTAGACACTGGTGTGGATTCAGAGGCAAAGGTAAAGAGTAAAGGGCCAAAACATCCAATCCGCTAAGCACAAAGATGGGATGAGGGTTGCAGCGCCGCAGCTGTGTGCATGGGGTGCTCTGCGGCACAGTGGGGTGCAGTAGCGGCGCCCCAAAACTGTGCCTCACTCCCCTCACTCCCCTCGCTGAGAAGCCGCGCCTGGCCCCGACTGCTAAATCTCTCTTCAGACCGTGGCGCCCACAGCCTGGCTGCCGCCCTGCCTCAGTCACGGCGCCAGGGGCCTCCCTCGCTGGCGGAGCCCCAGCCAGGCCCTCCGCCCGCCCAGTCCGCAGCGCCGGTCCCCACGGCGGCACAGGAGCCGGGTGCGAACCCCGAGCTCTCACACGCACAGTGGAAGGGGCCGCAGCTCTTGGGGCCTTTCCCACTCTGAGAAGCTGTGCAAGGCAGGACGGCCCCCTCCAGGTGACAAGGACACGGGACTCCTGTCCCTCTGTGTGCCAGCGCTCGCTGTACGAATCAGCGCTCCTCGGAGCAGGGTTTATTTCAGCTTATGGTGTCAGAGGTTCAGTCCTGTTTGTTTTTGAGACGGGCTCTCGCTATGCAGTCCAGGCTGGCCTTGGACTCACAGCAATCCTCCTGCCTCAGCCTCTCCAGTGCTGGGATCACAGATGTGCCACCACACCTGAAGACAAGTGCAAGTGAGAACAGAGGTGTGGCACAGTTGCTCAAGACTACGCTGTTCTCAGATCCACAGGGGTCCTGAGGCAGCCGACACCAGCATGGCTTTACACACGGCACCGTGCTGAGATGCGGCCCCATTTCTAACATCAGGGCAGCAAAAGCACCTTGTTCGTAAGATTGTTGAGAGACTACAAGACAGTAGAAACAAGCCCGTAAACAATGCCTGCTCCATAGTGAACACCAGACGACCATGGTTACTGTTAATGTTACTGTTATGGGAGCTCGGAAGACTAAGTGCTGGGCTTGACCGTCACAGCCATGTGGTTAAAAACCCATGGGGCAGTCCCGCGGACACAGACGCGTCGCTGCAGGACGGCGGGGGTGAGCCGCTAAGCCTGGGCACCCAAATCCAAAGCCTTTCTGTTTCTCCGGGCCCTGCCCGGGTAGTTCTCAGGGCTGGGAATCAGAAAACAGGTTTCAAGTCAGGTCCGAGACCCTTAGCTCTCTGGGCTTGTGCTTCTCCTCCGGAAACACGACGGCTCTTCAGGGCGGGAAGGAGAAGATTCCAGAGCTGTGTGGGGCTAAGGGAAAGTCGCCTTCCCGCCCGGGTGCACACAGGACACAGGCCACGGCAGACGTGCACCTGTGTCATACAAACCCAAGGATTTCCTAGGTCCGCAGAGAAAGTGGCCGCGGGCAGCCAGTGGAACAGCAGCTTTGGGGTCCGCCGACCTCGACTCATGACCCTCCCCGTCCCATCGCTGGGACACGCTGGGCTCTTCCACTGGGTGGCCGGGGATTTTGGCAAAGGAGCAGTGCGGATCCCGGAATGATGCTTCCGGACCCTGCTTCAGCCACAAGTCCAGAGCCTAATGACGCCCACCTCCGTCTGAAACTTCTCTTCCTGTTTAACCCTTCTTCCTCCTGGAGGCCATTCTGATTTTTCATTTTTAAAAAAATGGACCACCACCTCACTCTCTTTTTACAAATGTGTCTGATTGCCAGGCCAAGCAAAAAGGTGTCTGATTTCGGGTATGTGCCCAGCAGAGGCTGAGGCAGGAGGCTCATGGTGAGTTGGAGGCCACCCTGAGCTATACAGAGAGACCCTGGCTCAAAAATAAAGTAATAATAAAATAAAATAAAATCGTCTGTTCCTAAAAACTAGTCATAAATGTACCTTTTCCATCAGGCCTCTCTTTCCCCCCAAACAGAAGCTCTTTGGACAAGCTTGTAACCTTTTCTTTTAACTGCCCAGCAAATAGTTCTGA